TGATTATTTAGATTTTATATTTAAAATTAATGAAGGATGTTTTATTAAGTTATAATTTTTTTGCTTCCCTAATTTACTTTAATGAGGTAACCACTAAAAATTATAATTATCACGCTACGCTATAACTTTTTTGTTCTTTCTGTATTTATGTTTTTAGAGAGTGAGAGTAGAGCGTCGGTGGCTCAGGGGTCAAGCACTTGACTTGCAATCTGCAGGTCCCGGGTTCGAATCCCGCCATGTATCAATGTGTTTTTCTATTTCCGATTTACATATGTACATTTATCCGACGTTCTTACGGTGAAGGAAAACATCGTGATGCAACCTGCACATATCTGAGAAGAAATTTAAAGATATGTGTGAAGTCAACAAAGCCATACTTGCCCAGCGTGGTTGACTATGGCCTAATCAACCTTAACTTAGGGTATGCTCAGAGCCCCTCGCTGGGGACGTATAGTGAGCTGATGATGATTTTAGTTTTTAAAAACATGCGATTTTTCGAATAATCTTCCGTTGGACTGATTTTAAAGGGACCTGAAATATGCAAGAGAAACATAGGATATCTTTTTTTTAATTTCACGCTGACGAAGTTGCGGCCAACGACTAGTTTTTAAATAATCCACTTAACCTCCGATAAACTTTCAAAGTTTCAAAAATAACAGCTAAAGTTCAAAGTAACTTGTTAATAATGGTGAAAAGTTTAGTTTTAAAAATTTCCCAAACGGCTGCACGACGCAAATTTATAACCTAATTATTCTATTGTTGTAAAAGTTTAAATTTTTTGTTGGTTAACACTTTCACGGCCAGTACGTTAAAAGTGTGCCTAGAAAGTCGGTGGCTTTCAAAGTATTAAAATGTTGGCATACAGTGTTTTTAATGAATTTAAAATAGGACATTATTTTATCACTTGAGTCAAGAAGATTCGGACATAAAGCTTGGTTTACATTATTCCAGTAAAGTACAGTTAGCTGCATAAATATGTAAACTTTTACAAAGCTTCAAAAACTAGTATATGCCTTTCGGTTTCAAAAATATGTATACACGCATCTGTGCGTATTCTCTCGACCATGATAATATGTTATTGATGTTATTCGCGCATTCTTTTTTTTTTAAATCGAAGACAAGTTCCTACAGTTTGTAAGTGTATACATATTTATGTAGCTGACTGTACAATAGTAACATTGATTGTTTTGGCACCAGTTACTGTTTACATTATGCCAGTTGTATGCCAGCACTGATTGTCAGCTGTCCTACTGTACTGGCGTGATGTAAACCGGATAAAAGGAATTTTCAGATTACCATCTCATTCTAGTTAAAATTAATTGGTAATTTATCGTAATCTCATAAGCATTTGATATTATCTCTTGTCTCTATATGATTTAATTTAATACATAAATGACGCTCATGTTATAGTGATTTGCATATTTTAAGAGTGTTGTATTATTCAATCAATCGGAATTAGAGCGTCAGCGGCTCAGTGGTTAATGACTTGACTTGTAATCTGCAGGTCCTAGGTTCGAATCCCAACATGCACGAATGTGTTTTTCGATATACATATATACATTTAACCACGTTCGTACGGTGAAGGAAATCATCGTGATGCAACCTGCACATATCTGTGAAGAAATGCAGAAATATATGTGGAGTTAACCTGTACTGAGCCAGCGTGGTTGACTATGGCCTAGTCACCCCTTTTTTTTCCAGAGAGGAATGTTTTATGCATACTCCGCGCCCCGGGGGAGACGCGGTAGTTATGTGGGATTCTCCTCCATAGCGGAGGCATACCCACTAAACCTCTCTGTTCCTCCAACGCATCGGGACGGGGCAGACCTAGTCACCCCTAACTTAGTGTAGGCTCCGAGCCCCTCGGTGGGAACGTATAGTGAGTTGATGACGATGATTATAAATTAACGAACAAACCAAACTACTGGATCTAGTGGCATTAAATTTTACACAGATGTTTGTCTAACTTAGCCAAACACAAAAAAGTTGTCCTGGTCAGGTCAAGTCCTTCAGCTTCATCTTACTAATATTATAAATGCGAATGTTTGTATGTATGGAAGGATTTTGTTAGATCTCCAGAAAGGCTGTATGGAATTCGCTGAAATTTGGCTTAAATGTAAATCATTCTCTACAAGAACACATACACTACTTCCTTAGTTTTATTATAGTTTTCTGAAATTTTAGAAGATTATATTCGAACTCATTTGTTGTAAATGTGGAAAGGAAATAAACATACCGACAAAATTTGTCGTTTGTGTCAATTCCTTATTTATTTGCTCGAAACATTTCAAAACATCTTTATTGTAATTTATTATGGTTTTCAGAATTTAGGCGAGGAGATTAATTTATCTAATTCAAACAATTGACATCATTTATAAGCCCCATTGTTCTACGTTTAGACTTCACTTCCTTTTGAGTCTCCGAGAGATTCCGATCTTTCTTTTGAGAATTCATTCAAAAATTTAAATTTATCATAAACGTAGGATATAGTCTCAGATAGCAAATAAATCTTTATTTTCGCCGCTTATATTATTAACATTATAAATGTGTACGTTTAGATGATTGGATGGATGTTTACTAGAAGGTATCTCCAGAACGACTTAGGAAATCTCGCTGGAATTTGGCATATACGCAGAACATAGTCTGGAAGAGTGCATGGATTACTTACTTAGTTTATTTTAAATTCGCGGACAGATTCGCGGGCAACAGCTAGTACTTATATACATTTAAAACAACTCATATTCTAAAAGATAAGCGATATCTTTTTCCGTAAGTTAAATTAGATTTTTCAACGTCAAGCATCAGAATCGAACCCATGACTTACTCAAGGCCACTAGAGCCTCATCTCATCGTCAGCCTAGCGCTGTCTTCTGCCAGTGCACTTTTTGGTGATGTTCCAGGTCCATTATGTATTTTTACCACATTTTTTTTATTATCTTTATACTCTTAAATATTTTCATATAACTTAAGCATAAACGCATTAAATATCGTTTTGACGTCTATAAAATGTACGCCGAGCGACAATTTAGGCAGTTTTACGACTGTTTTATGATCAAAGGGAAATCAAATACGAATATCAAGACAAAAAAACATGCCCGACGTTTATGTAATATCGCATACGGTGCGATGCACATGTTTGTGAGTAGCCTTTGATTTCTGAGACCATAAGCCTTGTTAAAAACATATTGTTATCTCTTTTTCGTCAAAGACAATGACAGGGATGACGATATGATTTTAAAGGGGATTATGGTCTTAGTAAACAACGGTTAGTTTAATAAAAATAGAAATACAATTATTAATCTAACAATGTTATAAGAAACTTGGTGCTAACAAGTAAAGTTTGTTTCAAAGTTGAAAAGAAACCAATTAGAAGCTTAGAGAGTTAGATCGCGTGTTTCCCGTTGGGCGGATCGGTATACCAGTCTATTGGTCCAAAGGAAAACATTCGTTGGAGCGGGAAATACATTATTTTCATTTTAAATTAAAACTATTCATAATTAATTACAATGTGGGACCATGATTAGATGTATGGATAGAAGATTATAAATGAAATTATTTGGATGGATGGACAAAGACGACGAACTTCAAAACGGCAAAGCTAAATTTTGATGAAATTTGGTATAGATGTGTTCTACATCTACATATATCATAATGTGGAAGAACACATAGACTACCTACCCGAAAATGTGTACCTCGTGTAATTAGTTTGATTCTTATATTACTCCTCAACGATTGAAAAATTCTTACTAAAAGGCATATATAGGATTTTAGGGAACACTTAGGGGCGCCTACGGTGCTCCCTAACATACCCTAACTTTGTGAGATTTCCCCGACATCAAAAAACGGGGCGCCGAAAAATGTCGCCAAGGGCGCCGGAAATGCTAAAACCGGCCCTGAAAAGATCCAACGGTATGATTATTTGTTGTTGTTATAACCGGATTATAAATTAATGTTAAACTTAATAATTTAGGAAGCGCTCGGTCACATTTCTTGTAAGATGAAGGGCGTGACTTCGCATAAATTAACACCTATACCTGTGTTTACTGTTCCACTCGGAGACAGTATAAATTATCTTCCCGTTTAAATGTAATAAACATAAATTAATTGTTAGAGAAACAAATTGTTAATAGTTAGAAGTAATTTGCAAGCCCTTGAATCAATGTCTGAGACGCAGCGATCATTTGAAGATCGGTAAAGTCCCGTAAAGTGTTCCATGACAACAGATTTTTGTAATAAGGTGTAATAAGGAATATGATATTGCAAAAATCGATATTGTAGTTTTAGTCTAAGGAATAACTGCAAAACAGAGTACGGATTAATAGTCTGTTGATGCCATATGTTGTAATAAAAAAAAGGTATGTCGTTATAAAAATAAATGCTGGCCATTAAATTAATTGGCGTAAATACTATTATTAACACTACAGTTATTTGATAAGAATCTAATCTTACACGTGGAATCGGTTAACAAAATATTCCCTGGCATATTGATCACGAATTACATTTAAAAATAGAAAAATATGTTTCTTATAATTTATAGACGTCCTTATTACGTATTTTTTTTTGCAAAAGAGCAAACAGTTTTAAATTTGTCGAAATATCGAAGCGCCTGCCCATAGACATCCGCAATTGCTAATAAATTTGACTTTACAATCGACGGAGTAGAAGACGAACAGAAGAAAATCCGTTCTATGCGTCCCTACTTCCATCAGATTTATTCTCTCTTCCCACTTTATATCCAGCAGTGGATAGAAATCTCTGATGATGGTGATGATGATGATGATAATGATTGTTGTTTATATATTTAATATTATATCGTAACACTGTTCCCGTCTATGCATAACACGCGAGGTTATCTGTCTAGGCGTTAATGTTGGATAAGAAATAGCTCAATACTATTCAATGACGTTACGATCATATTTTATCGCGATGACTTGGTATTATTTCATTGAAAACCTATAAAAGCGTTTCATCTTTAATTTCCTTCATTCTTGATAAAGCTAGATAGTAAACATGTTGTTTAAAGGTTTATATATTTTGCTATTGAGTTTCACAATAGTAAGTGTAAAATCAGCAAATATCTTAGCATATTTTCCGTGCCCATCTATCAGTCATCAAGTTGTGTTTAGACCTATAACATTAGAATTGATAAAACGTGGACATACAGTGACAGTGATAACAACTGATCCAATATTTCCAAAAGGAGAAGCACCAGCAAATCTAACTGAAATAGATTTACATGACGCATCATATAGTTTACTGTTAAAAAACGTACCTAAATTTATATTAGGAAGAAGGAGTGATTTTGTACATCAAATACACCTATTGAAAGATTTTATTCCTAAGATGATTGAAGAACAAATGAACGTATCAGAAGTAAAGGAACTTTTGAATGATAAAAGTAAAAAATTTGATTTGATATTAGTTGAAGCATTTTATCTTATGGCTTTAGGAATAACTCATGTTTTTAAAGCACCAACAGTTTTGATAAGTTCTTTCGGTGCATTTATTGGCAGCTATGAAATAGTCGGTGCACCAACTAATCCGCCACTTTTATATCGTAATATCTTCAGTCAAAGACTTTATAATATGACCGTTTGGGATAAATTAAACGAACTGTATACACAGTTAAATATAAGATATGCGATGACTGATTTGGAAATTGAAGAAAATAAAGCGTTGAAAAAAATATTCGGCCCTGATGCACCAACACTAACGGAATTAAAAAATAATGTGCAAATGTTGTTTGTAAATATAAATCCTATTTGGGAAGATAATTATCCTGTACCTCTTTCTGTGGTGCACATGGGTGGACTACACCAGAAACCACCAAAGGAATTACCAAAGGTAAGCTACATCATATTTTTTAACGATATTAATAAGTTTTAAACAATTCCCATCGATTGTATCATATTATTAGGAGTCGTATTTTGAAGTCTTTTTATTCATTTTTCATTTGTCTTTCTATTACATTATAAGTAATGAATATAATACAATTTTGTTACTATTTTTATTTCTCCATACATACTGACCTTTTCAACTCACTTAAAGAAACAATTTATAGTACAAAGTTATAAATTTCAAGTTTATAGATAGAGTGTCGCGGACGAGAGCGAAAGCGTGCCCGTGGCCTCATCCCGATGCGTTGAAGGAACAGAGAGGTTTAGTGGATATGCCTCCGCTATGGAGAATCCCACATAACTACCGCGTCCCCCCGGGGCGCGGTGTATGCATAAAGCATTCCTCTCTGGAAAAAAAAAAGTTTATAGATAGAGTCGTATTTTTAACATGCTTAAGTTAATTTTTTTGTCTCGTAAAATTATAATTATGGAAACATTGGAACAAATAATTAAGTTTTACATCCCCCTCTATAACATCTAACCAATTCAAATACTGAAGAGGTCCTTTTCATTTTATCTTGATAATTATATACATGGTGATAAATATAATTATATTAAGTCTGTAATAGATAAAACATGGAAGCGATTAAAATTATTGTTATCAAAATCTATTAGGCATATAAATCCGTAGTGCATAATACGACGATTTTATTTTACCCGATGGGAGAGGCACTGCTATCACGGTTATTTCCATTAGGAAATATATAAAACCTTCTTAGACAAAAAATATAAGAAGATGAGAAGACAGCTATAGTACGACTAGGATTTGTTCTTATTCTGTTAAAATTTAGTTTGACTTATGCCTACCGGGTCAAATAAGTTTGACCATGTATAGCTCACTTCCGAACCAAACAATAGAAGCGAGCGTTTCTATTGTTCTTCTATTGTCTATGACTTTTTATAATTTTTTACACTTGAAAATACCAATAAAGTTAGAAACTTAAATAGAGATACCACAGTCCAATTATTAAGGGTTCTTCCTGGCCCTATGTGGGGTCAGCGCTCGAGATTTTTAAAAACCGTAAGGTTTTTTTACTGGCGATTGCCAATCCTACTTACAGCTAAGCAAAGGCCCTATCTGTTCTGCATTGCAACGCTTAATTGTAATTTGTTTTTTTTTATGTTTTTGATTGTGTTATAAGTGTTGTAATGTATTTGAACGGATTAAATGTCTTATTATTATTACTTGGGAATAATATTAAATACAATAAGAAATAACTTCTATATATACACCAAAAATAAACAAACACAATAAATAGAATAAAATTAATCCAATTATTCAGGGTTATCATATAAAACTTAATAATAAATTTTTATTTAGGAATATTACTTATAAAAAATTATATGTTTAAGGATCTTGCTCAATTAATGGATGAATCGAAGAATGGTGTGGTTTACTTCAGTTTTGGTACTAATGTCAGACCATCAGCATTGGATGCAGCGAAACTTGATGTTTTCCATAAAGCGTTTGCCAAGTTACCTTATACTGTTATTTGGAAATGGGATGATGAAAGCTTACTGCCAAAATCTAATAATGTTAAAATATTTAAATGGCTACCCCAAGCTGATCTATTAAGTAAGTACATACATTCGCATACATATTTTACTAATTGTTGTCGATACATACGAAACATTTTATATTACTTTTAATTTTTAAATTTAGAATGTTATTTTTTCTTCTTCCTTTTTTCGTCTGTCTTATAATATTTTCATTTTAATTATTATTTTATTTTCCAAATTTTATCTAAATCCTACCGTTCGTTTCCTTCCTCTTTACATTGTTGGATGGATGTTAGTCGGAAGGTTGAGCAGTTACGAACGGTAACAGCTCAACGGATCTTTAAGAAATGGTGGCACAGATGTACAAAATAGTCCGAAAGAATTCCGTGCGAACGGAGTTGTGTGCGATACCTAGTCAGGTAATAATAAGTAGCGAAAATTACTGTAATGTCATCGAACTAGGCTTATATTGTAACAGGAATTGTTAGAAAAGCATTTGTAAATTTAAATGTGCAGAATTATAACAAACGATTAAAATTTCCAGGACATCCTAATTTAAAATTATTCATAACACAAGGAGGCTTACAGTCAACTGATGAAGCGATCACAGCTGGTGTTCCTCTCCTTGGTATACCAATGCTAGGCGATCAGTGGTACAATGTTGAAAAATATGTTTATCATAAAATCGGTGTCGGACTTGACTTTGAAAATTTGACAGAAGAACAATTGAAACAAACTATACTAGAAGTTGCTGAAAATGAAAGGTTGGTGTTACCAGAATTGTGTAATTTATTTCCTACTTTCTATTTTTTTCTCAAGAGTTTAGATGTTTTTGAGGCCTTATACAATTTCATAAGGAGCATTAATGAGTTTCGTTAGTTCCGGGGTTAACAACTTGACTTGCAATCTACAGATCCTGGCTTCAAATCCTGCCATGTAGCAATGTTTTATTTGATTTACATATATACATTTATCCTTCTTAAAACTGTAGGATATTCTCTGTGTAGTCCTAAATGTAGTATTGTTTTGAACACGCTCGATTTACGATTAAAGATCTTTAAAGTTTGAAGACTTTACAAGACGTTTAAAGAATTGTCGCTTTAGAGACACCGCCAACAAACCCGACTATACTCCACTATTCCTGTAACCTCAACGACTTAACTGATTAAAAACAATGACGAGTCGAATAGTTTTCTCCTCATAAATGGCATAGAGATATAGTCATATTATTTATTTAATCTTGATCTCTTTCAGTTATCGTAAGAACATAGAAAGGCTACGTAGTCTGATGGAAGATCAACCACAGAAACCACTGGAGAGAGCTATTTGGTGGTTGGAACACATTCTACGACATGGCGGTGCGAAGCATCTTAGATCACCAGCTGCAAATATTTCTTGGTCCGAATACTTAGAAATAGAACTAGTTTCTTTAATACTTACTATTTTAGTTACATCGTTATTAATAGTTATTTTGGTAACAAGGTATATATTCAGAAAAATATTGCAACTTTATCGAATTTATAATAAGGAAAAGGTATTGTAATTTTATATGTAACTAGCTGTCGCCCGCGACTCCGTCCGCGTGGATATATAAAAAAAATAATATAAAGATAAGTTAAATAAAAAGCAGCTCTTCAAAGCATAAATTCGAAAAAATAAATAACAAAGATGAATAAATAGTATCCTATGTCCGTCTCCTGGCTCTAAGCTACCTCCCCTGCAATTTTTAGCCATGTCGGTAAAGCCGTTCTTGAGTTATAAATAGTGTAACTAACACGACTTTCTTTTATATATATAGATTAGGTGTCAGATCTCAGATGATGGTGATGATTTAAGAATATTATTACGAAATTCATAAATTATGATAAAAGAATCATTTGTGGAAAAATAAATAAAATACTAAGTAACAACCAAACCCATTTCATTTTTTGTAAAATTCACAAATATTTCCTATAAATCGATATTGAATTAAACTTAAAATGTCTTCAATTTCACGTTCCAAATGTATTTACTTAGAAATTTCCAAGCTGCTATACAAAAAAGTGAACTCAATATTAAAGATATAAAAGTCAAAAGGATTAATATTATAAGAATATCTAATTCGAAGTATTCAGACCAGGTGACGTGAGCGCCTGCAGATTTTAGATGAGCAGCACCGCCGAACCTCAGCACATGCTCAATCCACCATACAGCCCGGTCTAACGGCCTCATCGGTTGGTCGTTCATAATAGTTCTAAGACGTTCTATATTCCGGCGATAGCTGTAAACAATCGAATACAAGCGAAAAAATAAATCTTAATCAACTAATAGAAATGTAGTAATGAATCACATAACATCTTCGAAGTTAAAAACATGTTTGAAAAATTGCTATTAAATTTTGTGTAGTTGTATTTTTGTAAAAAATAATTTATGTTAATGCGCATTAGTTCGCTTAGTTCACCCGTCATAACTATTCCAACGGGGTACATTTGTCGATCATTAGATGTGGAGTTTCTGCCCCTACTCCTATTACTACTAGTATTAACATTTCCATTGTACGGCGCGATCCCCGAGACATCATTTTGCCATCAACCAGAACGCCTTATACCTTTACCCCACTGAATCGTCGTAGTCGACGCGGCGGTGAATGAACGCAGCGACAATTCCGAGGTGGGATAGTGTCGGGTGAACGAGAAGTATAGTAATGCGCGTTAACCGTAAAGCGGACTTCTGTTATCTAAACGATTTGATCAAGCTTGAAGGTTATATTCTTATAATTTTTTATGGTTCATAATTTTTTTAATTTTTATTGCAAGTTTCTCAACCAATGCATATATTAATATGGCCCCTGCAAATATTCGTATAGCAATTTCGTATATATGATGGAAAGATAGATTTCTGTAGGAGTTAAAATAGGAAACGATGGATTGTATTAAATTCAACAAGACTGAACTCAGATCACTAAAATTACAAATGATGTCTTGGCTTGCAAGACGAATGCTTGTTTTACCGATAGTTTAAGGTTACGATGATGTTCTTTATATTATTAGTGTACAGGTTATGTCAATCTTATGTTACCTTTCGTCTTCTATTAAAGAAGTTATAGCAGCTGCTAAAGTTTCTTTATTAAGAGTATCCATATTAAGACCACGTCCAATTTTAAATTTCTCATATTTCTCAATATTGTACCATTGATCTGCAAATATAGGTATACCTAATAGTGGAACACCGGCGGTTATGGCTTCATCCGTAGATTGAAGACCACCTTGAGTTATAAATAATTTTATATTCCGATGTCCTGGAAAATAAATGATAGTCTTACTAAAAATAAATGATGGATAGATGGAAAGATGGATAGAGGGATGGATGTTTGTTAAAAAGTATGTTCAGAACAGCTGCTCCGATCTCGCTTAAATTTGGCATAGATAACCTACTTTGGAAGAACACATAGCCTAATTACATGAGTCACATGGTAACGAAGTCGCGGGCGACAACTAGTAATAATTTAAATTGAACTTGTAGTTCCAGAGATCAGCATGTTCAAGTAAACTCTTAGGTTTTATTGTTTTACTGCAAATTAAAATGTTGTTTAACTTACTTAACAAATCGGCCTGTGGTACCCATTTGAATATTCTTATATTTCTAGTCTGTCCTGGTAACTCGTCTTTATCCCATTTGAATATAACATCATAGGGTAATTCAGAAAATACTTCGGTCAATATTTTTATTTTTTCTAGAGGAAGCAGTGATGGTCGCACGTTTGTACCAAAACTGACATATATCACACCGTTAACAGAGGAATCCAGATATTTTTGTAGATCCTAAAAAAGTCTTTTAAATATTATTTGAAGTATGAATCATCATCAGCTCACTATACGTCTCCACTCAGGGGACGTGAGTCTACCCTAAATTAGCATTGACTAGTCCATAGTCAACAACGCTAGCCTAGTGCGCGTTCACTTCACACATATCTTTGAATTTTCTTCGCAGATATGTAAAGATTGCATCACGATGTTTTCCTTCACCGTAATAATGTCGGATAAATGTATATATACGGCGGATAAGGTATACGGCGACGCTGGGAACCCAGGATCTGACAATTAAATGATAGAAATATATGTAATTAATTTAATTAAAGATAACTTGCCTTTGGTAAGTCTTTTTTATCATTTTGATGCAAACCTCCCAAATAAATGACGTTCGGTGATACAGGACGATTGTTTTCCCAAATTGCGTGCACATTTAATAGTAACATTTCAACTTTTTTAAACAATTCTTGTAATGTAGGAGTGTCTTCTCCAAATAAACGTTTCATTATTTTATTTTCATGAATTTCATTTGACTTTAGACGGTTATGAAATACAAATTCGTTGTACAATTCTGTTAATTTTTCCCAAATATTTAAATCATTTATTCTATGTCTGAACACACTTGGATAGAGAAATGGATGAAACGGTGTTCCAATTGATTCTGAATTTTTAAAAGGCGATCCAAAAGAACTTATTTGAATCATAGGTGCTTTGAATACATGTGATAAACCAAGAGTCATTCTTACACAAGCTTCAACCAATATAAGATCAAATTTTTCATTTTGTTTAAGTAGATTTATGACTTGTTCCGAAATCATTTGTTCTTCAAAAACTTGTTCTATTACACTTAAAATGAAAACTACCTTGTCAGCCCAAATACTTCCTGTATCTTCTGATCTTTGAATAAATCTTTCCCACGAAGAATAAGAAAGATCATGGACGTCGACTTCTGTTAAATTAACCGGTGCTTTGCCCTTAGGGAATGCTGGATCTGGAGTAATAACAACCAACTCATGGCCACGTTTCAATAGCTCTTTTATAATTGGACGAAATACAATTTGATGGCTTATTGATGGTATTGGAAATACGGCCAAAATCCGTGCACCGTAAATATTTGAAAATTTAAAATTAAATAATAATATCAAGACTAGAAGTTTCATGTTCAATCTTTACAACGTTTCAAATCTGAATAATTTTTATTGCGTAGTTTTCAATGTGTCCGAAAAGATCGCATTAACATTATAAAAAAAGCATAAGTAGTTAAAAAAAATTAAACAAATAACAACTATCGTTGTATCGTGACCAACATTAAGCAAAAACATACGTCATCAATTGAGGAAGTGATTTTTTACGATCAAATATTTTTTTTTCAAATGTAACAAATTTCGTACGTATGTTGCGAAAGCAAGCCCAAATATTTCGCTAGTCTACGAAATTTCGAATCGCGTGTGCGGCCAGGTTAAGTCCCTTCGTACACAAAGCAACGTAAATCGCCGAAACAAATATTGTCTGCTTGCGTCGCAAGAATCGTCGACGCGAATTGTCTATTCGGACAGTACAGACATAGTGAATACATGTCAACTGTATGAATATACTCCGTCATCTAGAAAATTGCAGTCACTTTTCCCACTAAAATCTTGACAAACTGGTTGCGAGCTACTATCTTTGGAGATGACAGAAATATCGGCGACGCGTGTTGTGTATAAATCTATGACACTATACTATAACATTGTTTGCGTAAGTCGCTTGGCGACTAAAGTTGGCGGGTTTCGAAAATTTACGTTGCCTTGTGTATGAGGGGCCTAAAGCGATTTCTCCACGTACCACATCTTTCATATCGACGAAGTCGTAAACACTCTTACATCGATGATAGGTAAGAATGAACAAATTTTTAAATAGTTATTAAAATATTTAATATTATATTTCTTTATGTATAGATAAAGAATGTCCTTGGTTCATATTATTTACAACATTTTACGTCTAACAATTTGAACTAAATGTAATAAAATAAATGTAAAACTAAATGTATACCTAAGCTTTTTTGATTTTAGCTGTTACTTTGTGGCTTATGAAATTATAAATTGCTTTTGAGACTAAAATAACAATAAGAAGAGAGATTATTAACACAGAACCTAAAGTAAATACAAGTTCTAATTCTAAATATTGAGTCCAGGAAATGTTTGCGGCCGGGCTCCTCAAGTGCCGCGCGCCGCGATGACGCAGCACGTGCTCTGTCCACCACACGGCGCGCTCCAGTGGACTCTGCGGCTGGTCTTGCATTATACTACGCAGACGCACTATGTTCTCACGATAGCTAGAAATAATAAAGTGAATTAGAATAAATTAATCCTCTGTCTAGTTTTTCATTCCATTAATTACCAATTTACAAACTTTACCTATTGTCGTTCAGAATAGTTTTTATAGAGTTTTCAAACTTTTCCTCGGTAAGAGTGTTTATATTAACCATAAGACCAATTTTATGGTGGACATATTTCTCGACGTTGTACCACTGATCAGCCAACATTGGTATGCCAATGAGGGGTACTCCGGCAGTAATTGCCTCGTCTGTAGACTGCATTCCACCTTGAGTTATGAATAGTTTAATTTTTGGATGCCCTGAAAATAAAATGTCATCATTTTTTTTACTTTGATTAAAGATCGCGTCACGCTTCGGGAATAATTGAAGATGAGATTTCCTTTGTGAGATTTTTGAAGTATTTAAGTAGGATTTATAAAATCTTACTAATATGTATTATTAATGCGAATGTTTGCGTTGGCGGATAGATGGATATTTATTAGAAGGTATCTCCAGAACGGCTGCATGGATCTCGCTGTAATTTTTCACAGAGTTAGTACAAAGCCTGGAAGAACGCATAGGCTACTAAGTAAGGTTTTTTTTTAATTCCGCGCGAACGTGGTGGCGGACGCTTGTAAAGTTATTAATAAAGACTTACTTAACAAGTCTGATTGAGGTAGCCATTTTGATATTTTAATATTACTTGATCGTCCAGGTAATTCATCATTGTCCCATTTCCATAAAACATCGTAGGGCAATCGTGAGAACACTTTTATGATAGCCTCTAGCTTTTCTGGTGGCAGATAAGATGGCTTTACGTTTGTGCCCAAACTGAAGTAAATAACACCATTCTTGGAAGAGTCTAGATATGATTTTAGATCCTGCAAAAATGATTGAAGGTTATTTGAAATATTTTAGCGATTGAATTAGACTAACATTAAGAAATTCTCGTCAAATAGCAATAGTATAAATAATTAGATACAAAAAGTGACAATTTAGAAAAGAATTGCATTTTATCCATTTTTGACCGTGGCCACGGAATACCGTAGGACTCTACGGCAAGGCACTAAACAACTTTAGGTTAACACTTTTAAAATATGTAATAAAAAATTTAAATAAGTTTAAAATAAATCAATAACATAATCTGGACGTTATATAAATTAATATTATATACAATGATTAAAATTATCAAATACCTTAGGTAATTCTTTTTGTGGATTCTGATGCAGTCCTCCCAAGTAAATAACACCAGGTGGCACAGGTCTGTTATTGTCCCAAATAGGATGAAAGTTTAAAAATAACATTGCAACATTGTCGTATAATTTATCAATGGATGGTGCATTATTACCAAATAACCTTTTCAGTATTTGATTATCATATCCTCTATTCATCGTGTACGTTAATGACTTGAACTCATTTCTTAACTGTGATATTTTTTCCCACATAGTTAAATTGTATAATCTCTCTCTAGCTAAATTCGGATATAAGATAGGATGTGTTGCTGACCCTATGATATCATGATTGTCCATCACAGCACCGAAAGAACTTACTTGAATAACTGGGGCTTTAAAAACATAAGACAAACCAAGAGTAGGTCTTATACATGCCTCGGCAAGAATCAAATCGAAATAGTCTTCTTTGTATTTAAGTATTTCTTGAACACTCTCACTTTTTACTTGATCTTCAAATATAGTAAAGGATGCATTTATAATCACCTGAAGTTGCTCTATTGGATCTCTTGGAATATTTTCTATTCCCGACATGATTTTCTTCCATTTTGTATATGAAATATCATGAACGTCGATTTCTGTGAGATTCTTAGGTGCTTGTCCTTTAGGAAATGCTGGATCTGGTGTTATAACTATAACTTCATGTCCACGTTTAGCTAATTCTTGAGTAAGAGGACGGAATACTACTTGATGACTGATTGATGGTGTTGGAAACATTGCTAATATTCGAGCTGATTCTATCCATGATATTGTAAAACATAATAAATAAATCACTGATCTCGGCCACATTGTTACAATCAATAATCAAGTTTGGAACACGTTGTTATAGACACGATATTATAAACTCGATTTCAAGATGACTTGCAATTTAACTTTGTGGATACTTATCGTTACCGAAGTTATCTGTCTATATAATTATCAGGTTTTAACAGACTGTTTGCTTCGGTGATACTTCGATTTTTAGAAATTAAATTTTGAAATATTAACAAAAAGAAAAATTTGAAAATATTTTTAGATAGTGATTGGGTTTATTACATAAATTGAAATTAACCTTTTAGTAATCTTCTTTTCCTTGACTTACAATGAACTTCTTACTTATCATTTTCTGATTAACCGATTAAAGTAATCGTTATATTTGAATAATCGTCTTATAAATCGTAAATTTATTACAACTTTAAACTGACATATTAATGCAAACATATTTAAAGTACACTATTGCTTATACTTCCGCGTTTACGATTGAAGGTCTTTAAAACGTTGAATTGATTATTAAATACTTGAGATGTTTGTGATTACCATAGTAAATTAAAATTCACGAGTTGACAAAAATATTAAAAAATCATATTAGTTGCTAAATCACGTGATAATAGTATTTGGTCAGTTATCATAAGACATGTCTGTACTTGTCATCATTTTAAATAAATTTTTACAAGTTGTAACGTGTTCGAGTTTATTAACTGATGATTCATGATTACTATTAGTTTTAAATAAATTATTTATAAAGGGATTTTTCCATGATTTTGGACTTAACAAATAAGAACCGTAAGAGTCATTCCATATTTTTATAAAGTGTTTATTTTTAATCTGAGTATTTAAAAAATAATATTAATATTATCACATTTAGTACCTTATAATAAGTGTAAAAATATTTCGTTATTTATTTTATTAATTTTAATTATTTGCAATATAATATTCAAGACTTTTTGATTTTAATTACACTGGATAAATATACGTTCAAATAATTCCAAATCATTTTAGTAATAATAAACAGAATAACTAGTGAAAGTATTAACACAGAAGCTAAAGTAAATAAAAGTTCTAATTCTAAATATTGAGTCCAGGAAATGTTTGCGGCCGGGCTCCTCAAGTGCCGCGCGCCGCGGTGACGCAGCACGTGCTCTGTCCACCAAACGGCGCGCTCCAGTGGACTCTGCGGCTGGTCCTGCATTATATTGCGCAGACGCACTATGTTCTCACGATAGCTGAAATAATATACTAATTACTATGTTATAAATGTGAAATTTTAGAATTTAAATGGATGGATACATAGATGTAGAACATAGTCTGGAAGAACACATTGGCTAATAATTAAATGTTTTAAATTTCGCGCTAACGGAGGCGAAGACGTCATAGTCATTCTTAATCTAGCAATCATTGTTAAACCATTGTTTGTTCTAGACGAGCCTTGTGTATCAATTTCAACAAGTTTGTGAAGTCTTTGAGTGTATTCCTTGAATCCGATACTACACGCCTCTAACTGACGTACTAATATTATAAATGCGAAAGTTTAGATGGGCGGATGTTTACTTCAACGTATCTCCAAAAGTACTCAACGGATTTTGATGAAATTTTGCACACGTAGAACATAGTCTGAAAGGACATATGTAAGTTATTAAGTTTTATAGCTACTCTATATATATAAAAAAACAATTGCTGTTCGTTAGTCTCGCTAAAACTCGAAAACGGCTGAACGGAATTATCTTATCTTATTCTTGAAATGTTTGTGGTCTATGGAAGGTTTAAAAAGGTGAGAAAAATTCGAATCATTGACGGGAAAACCATAAATATGTTTCTTTTAATTACGCGCGGACGGAGTCGCGGTCGACAGCTAGTTAATAATAATTCTGGTGGCGAGACACCCAGGTCGTTATTTAGGAGGAATAATGTAAAAATAAATTGCAAACATGTCTCACCTATTGTTGTTAAGAATAGATTTTATAGCATTTTCAAGTTGTTCTTCCGTTAATATATCTATGTCCAGTTTGTGTCCTATATTAAAATGAACATATTTTTCAGCATTATACCACTGATCGCCCAACATAGGTATGCCAATGACTGGCACACCGGCGGTGATCGTCTCGTCTGTTGATTGTAGACCTCCTTGAGTTATGAATAATTTTATATTTGGATGTCCTGAAATAAAACAGAAAAAAATAGAAATCTTTATCATTTTTTTTTTGGCTATATTTTCTTTCGAGTTCCAGATTGCCTATGTGTCAATTACCGCGAAATCTTACATTGAATTAATTTAACTCCTAAAAGCTATAAAACCTACTAGCAGTCGCCCGCTACTCCGTCCGCGCGGAAAAAAAAACATAATAGTCTATTATGTGTCCTTCAGACTATGTCCTATATGTATGCCAAATTTCATAGAGATCCCTTCAGCCGTTATGAAGATACATTCAAACAAACATCCATCTAAACATTCCCATCTTACTAATATTATAAATGCTTAGATATATGGATGTATGTTCGTTTGAAAATATCTCCGAAACGGCTGAACGGAACCCGCGGAAATTTGACATACATGTAGAATAAAGCCTGGAAGGACACATAAGCTACATACTAAGTATGTTTTTAATGTCGCGCGGACGGAGTCGCGTGCGACAGATAGTTTTCAATATTAGTGAGATAGTAAGACTGAATTGTTTTAAAAGTGAAATTTATTTAACAAATCCTGAATAACCAGTATTAAATAAGCATATTAATTACCATGTCTGACAATCTCGCTAATGAATCATGAATAAACTTACTCAATAAGTCAGATTGTGGAAACCATTTTGATATTTTTATATTATTTGAACGTCCTGGCAGCTCATCGTTGTCCCATTTCCATAACACATCGTACGGCAGTCTTGAGAATACATTTATAATAGCTTGTAATTTATCTGATGGAAGATTTGAAGGTTTCACGTTTGTGCCCAAACTAAAATAAATGACTCCGTTCTTGGAAGAATCTAGATACGACTTCAAATCCTGTAATTTTGTTTAATATATTTGAATATTCGTATTGATAAAGTTGCTTAAACTTTACTAGAATACATTAAAAGAAAAAAAAAGCTTTTATAATATTCCTGTACTAAAAATTCTAGACGATTCAAACGAGGTCAAACTCGATAAGGTTCTGTCTGTTCTGTGTTTTAATGAAATAAATTATTACATACCTTAGGCAATTCTTTTTGTGGATTCTGGTGCAATCCTCCCATGTATATAACACCAGGAGGTGCGGGTCGATTGCTATCCCAAATGGGATGATAGTTTAAAAATAACATCGCAACATTATTGGATAATTCGTCAACAGTTGGTACATTCTGTCCGAACAATCTCTTTAATATTTCATTATCTTTTTCCAAATTATAAGTGTACATTGCTGTTATAAATTCTTTCCTTAACTGTTTAATTTTTTCCCATATTGTTAAATTATATAATCTATCTCTTACCATACCTGGGTATAAAAATGGATGTGTTGGTGATCCCATTACATAGTAATTGTCCATCACAGCACCAAAAGAACTTACTTGAATAACAGGCGCTTTGAAAACATAAGACAATCCAATAGCTGGTCTAACACATGCTTCAATAAGTATCAAGTCGAAATAATCCTCTTTGTATTTTAATATTTCTTGAACGCTATTAATTTTTATTTGCTCTTCAAAAATAGCGTTATTTGAATCTATGAACACATCCAATTGTTCTATTACGTCTCTTCCGACGTCTTTAATACGTCCCATTAATGTCTTCCATTTTGAATATGAAATATCATGAACGTCTATTTCTGTGAGATTCTTAGGTGCTTGTCCTTTAGGAAATGCTGGATCTGGCGTTATAACTATAACTTCATGTCCACGTTTAACCAATTCTTGAGTAAGAGGACGGAATACTACTTGATGACTGATTGATGGTGTTGGAAACATTGCTAATATTCGAGCTGATTCTATCCATGTTATTGTAAAGCACAATAAATAAATAACAGATTTAAAGTCCATCGTTATTTACAGTCAGTTTGTGAATGATCAATCTAGACGCGGTAATATAAACCAGATTTAAAGATGACTTGCAAATATACAAACTTCGATTGTGATTATTATTACCGTATAATATGTCTCTGTTATAGTAAAGTTAATTAATTCGTCATGTAAGATAAAGTCTGACATTTAAAATGAAAACCAGAAGTAGTATGGCTTAAAAAAAATCAAATTAAATCATAAGTTAAGCAAGAGACAATATACTTTCCTTAATTAAATTTGCATTTCTAACCGCATTAAACCAACTTATATCATTCCGGGGAATAATCGGAATCAACTAGGAATACTAAGAGAGACCTTGCTATCGAAAATAGTTAAGATTTTATCCATATATGAAAGAGCTATAAAATAGTATGATATTTATTAATCTTACTAATATTATAGATGCAAAAGTTAATATGGATGCCAGAAAAGCTCAACGGGTCTCATTTGGTACAGATGTAGAACATAGTCTGGAACAGATATGCTTGCTACGTAGATTTTTTTTTAATTCTGACAGATGGTCTAAAAGGCAAAAGATAGTTACATAATATTTTACGGATTAAAGCAATATTACTTTATCAATAATGTTTATACTTTATTATTCTTATTTCTGATTTCATAATCTCAGCAATTATTGGGTAACAATTATCACGTCTGTGTTTAAAAACTGTTTATCAGTATATCATAATCAGCTTATACAATGATGCGTAAAATTTTTGCGATAACGTTTTTTTACGTCTAGACACAACATTTATTTTTATTATGTCATTGTCATCTTAATTTATAGTGATACTAAATTATTCAAACTTTCGTGAGATATTATAATAAACTTATATAAAAATGGCTAAACACTCTCGTGTATTCGGGGGCCTTTCTTTAGGGTGAGTGGGACTGGTATTATTTCGCGGACGCGGCCCCCAGCTCACAAGAATACCAATACAAAAATACGTCGTGAAATAATACCAGTCCCACTCACCCTTAAAAAAGGCCCCCGATGGGCTAGAAACTAGTCGGTGCCGCCACCTGACGTATAAATGTGAGTGTTAAGCCGTTTTTATATGAGT